CCACGACGCCCACCCAGGAGGGAGCAGCGGGGGTCGCACACTTACACACACACAAACCCCCTCGTGGCATTGCTCCTCTCCCCGGGTCCGAGGATTTCCTGCGAGAAGCAAACCGTGCCAGGAGGACCTCTGCCCGAGCAGGCTCCAAAGAGCAAAGTGTGTGCGCTCCGCTGCCGCCGGGGCGCCGGGCTCCGGGGCGCCGGAGTGTGAGCTCCGCGGGGAGACGCGGGGCGCGGGAGCCGGGAGCCCCGCGCGCAGAATGGGGGAAGCACAGGGAGGCATGGGGGGGGGGGGGGGTACTGGGTCTGCTCGGGGGGCTCACCTGGTCATGTTGGCTCCGGACAGCCGCCGCCACCGCCTCCCGCTTCGCCAGCAGCACTTTGCTCCAGCGCCTTCGCGCCCGGCCACGGCCGCCGCCTCCCTCCGGCGCCGGCTCAGCCCCGCGGAGCCCCCCGCCCCGCCGCCGCCGCCCGGCCCCCGCGCGGCCAGCCCAGTCCGGAGCGGGGAAGTGCCGGAGAGTCCGCGAGTGAGTCCGAAATCCCGAAATCCAGCATCCAGGAGAGCGCGTCCCCCGCCCTCCCTCCCTCCACCCCTACTCCCTCCCTCCACCCCTACTCCCTCTCCTCCTCCTCCTCCGCCTCCTCCGCCGCCTCCGCCTCCTCGGCCCGGGCCGTCCTCCTGGCTCTCCGGAGCCCGCGGCTTCCGCGGCGGCTGGTGTCTCCTCCTCCTCCTCCCGCTGCTCCTGCTTCTCCTGCTCCTCCTGCTCCTCCTGCTCCTCCCGCTGCTCCTGCGCGCCCCGCGCTCCTCCTCGGCCGCCGCCGCCGCCGCCGGGAGTCTCCGCTCCCGCCCGCTGCTCCCTCCGCCCGCGCCTCGCCGCTCCGCTCGCGGCTGGGGGCTCCTGGGGTTCCGGGGGTCCGGAGCCGCGGCTCTTCTCCTCCTCCCCCTGCCTCTCTGTTTGCGCTTTCTTGCTGCTGCTTCTTTTTAAGAGGATTTTTTTTTTGGCCCACAAATAGCAACTCGGCTGGCTGCCCCCCTCAGCGCCTCCCTCCCCTTCTCTGCTTCCCCCCAAAGTGAAGCGCACGCGAGAGGTAACCAGAAACTGAGGCTGGCTTTAGGGGGAAGGGGGAGCCGGGGAGGGGGGCGGGGAGAGGGAGCGAGGCAACGCCTCCCTGCAGACGGCTGGAGTGGATCCGGGAGGTGGGCTGGCCAGTCCAGCCCAGTCCCCAGACCCAGCGCGAACCTGGTGGCTGTGGTTGGAGGCCAGGTGGTGCGGGGTGTGTGTGTGTGGGGGGGGGGGGGGGGAGAGGTTTCAATAAGAAAGCTTAGGAAAGTGATTGGGAAAGCTTCCCTCTTTGTTTCCTTTTCTCAAATCCTCAGGACGTGCTGGGGATCCCACGGAATTGGGAATCGGAATCGCGGGGCCCAGCGCTGGGGGGGGGGGGGGGGGGGGGCTGTGCGCGCGCTGCCGGCGAGAGGGTGGGAGTGTGGGTGCGCCCGGGCGGGCAGAGCAGGGCCGCTGAGCCCACGGGCGGATCCCAGAGTCTGGACCACTGACCCAGTGACAGGGCCTGAGAGCTGAGCTGGATGAAGGAGGGGCGGGCAGGCAGACTAGGCACAAGAGGCACAACTCGTTCTCATTCATATTCCCTCTCTTCTCTCTCTCTCTCTCCCTCTCTCCCTCTCTCTCTCTCTCTCTCTCTCTCTCTCTCTCTCTCTGGCTGACGTCACTCCCCAGCATCCATCCACCAGGCCAGAAAAGACCCTCTTTAACAAATTCACTCATCCCCTTAAGAGATGCACACCCAGGCGCTTCCTGCTCCACGTCCTGGCAGAGGCAGGAACAATGATGCTGGCGGAGCCCCATTCACAGCAGTGAAGATACAAGGAGAGCAGGGTGGATGAGACACAGTCTGTGTCCACCCCACTCCACCGGGGCTGCTTCATTCATTCATTGGGGATGCTTGTAGGATCCACTTCAGAGTCAGAGAGTACGAGGAAGTACTGAATCAACCTTCCTGTGATCTTCTTGCTTGGTTTCCATGCCACTTGCTTTTCTGATCTTGGAAATTCAGTGATTCCTGGCTTCTCGGAAGGACACCATGAAACCCTCTCTCTCTAGACAAGTACCCCGTGTTGGGGCTACCCTGGCTTCATCCACAGAATCCTTTATCCACGGAATAGGCTGCGTGGGTTGTTAGCTAAGAGGTGATTTTAACCATTGCTCCCAGGATGTCTGTAGCATGGGGACCAAGTCAGCAGCTAGCTGGGAACCTCCACTGGCGATTTGTTGGCCTACCAAAATGTTATTCTAAATGTGGTCAAAACGGTTAAGTAAAAGACAGGCAGGGCCTCCAGCCACCTCCTTTACTCATTCTGTGTTCAGGTTAAGACACACACACACAATACTTGTTCCTGCAGGCTGGAGTGAGTGTGTGCAAGAGCAAAGGTAAGCAGATAGCCGTTGTAGATTCAGCCTCAGGAGCCTACATCCTGACCATTGTCTCCAGCTGCCCACTTGTTTCCACCATCTGCATTCTGTGTTCCTGAAGGCACTGAAGGATTCTCAGTGATTCTCTACCTGCTTCGGCTCCAAGAAGTCATGAAGTTGTGTGTGTGTGTGTGTGTGTGTGTGTGTTTAATATATTTTATTGATTTTTTTACAGAGAGGAAGAGAGAAAAAGATAGAGAGTTAGAAACATTGATGAGAGAGAAACATCAATCAGCTGCCTCCTGCACACCCCCTTGGTTGTGCCCACAACCAAGATGCATGCCCTTGACTAGAATCGAACCTGGGACCTTTCCGTCTGCAGGCCAACTCTCTATCCACCGAGCCAAACTTGTCAGGGTGAAGTCACATAGTTTTGAAAGGACTCATGCTAAAGGAAGTTAGTTTTCCAGCAATCTGAAGGGAGGTGAGGAGGATCATCTTGGGTTGACGTTGCTTGTTCTTTTTCTTTTTTTATGATTAGCCTTATAGTGGAAACCAAGAAGGAATATATTCTTGTGCAGGATTCCAGCGCCAGATTTACCCTTCGAACTTTCTCATGACACGAGGAACTGCATGGCTGAGCAGGTATGATGGACTCGTGCCCCCTGTCCTCTAAGGATAAATCAAGAAATCTGAACATCCACATAGGTGCTTCTCACTCAAGGTGTAATTTCTGATTTGGCGTTCTCGCTGATGCATCTTCCCCCATCAACTGGTGAGTCCCATTTTCCTCTTGCAAAAGCTGGATACTAGGGCCAGTGTTGCTCATTGGTCAAGCATCGACCTCTGAACCAGGATGTCACGGGTTGATTCCCAGTCAGGGCACATGCAGGCTCAATCCCCAATGTGAAACATGAACATGCCAGAGGCAGCCGATCAATGATTCTCTCTCATCATTGAGGTTTCTCTCTCTCTCCTTCTCCCTGCCTCTCTGAAATCAATAAAAATATGTTTTTTTTTAAAAAGTTAGATACTAGGAAAACCAAAAAAAGTGTTTAAAGCCCTGGTATTCCTCTGCTGTTGTCTTTGGTAAAGAGACACACATACCTCTGCCTAATTGAAGAAGATCTGACCAAAACTGACCTTAAGAAGATGACAGCCGGGACAACTGAGTGCCATCTGGGAGCAGAGTCCAGGAACTACTCACACACACCCCTGGCAGCAAGTAGTTAAACTAGCCAGAGAACTTAGTGATCATCATTGCCAAGGTGAGTAACAAGCTGGTGGAGAGAAATCAGAGGAGGTGGAGGACAATACAGGTAAGTGACCTAAGCACAAGACCCAACTTTCCTGACACCCTGAGATCATAGGTGTTTCCCACCTCACTAGAAGCAAACACCTGGGAGAAAGAACTAGGCTTGGAAGGAGGTGGTTAGAGTCTGAGCTATTATTATGCAAAAGAGGGGGGATGTGGCTAAGGTAGAGGAATCTGGCAAATAAAGGATCTAAACCTTCTCTGCACCTCTGAGTGGTGGGGGGAGGGAGCCAGCATCCGGTTGTGCATACATTAGTGTTCATTTGGAGTGGGCTAGTAACCGAACAACACCCTGTGATAATGGACTGTAACCCATGGGTTATACCATTTGGAGATTTAAAGTCGAAGAACATCAGAAGTGGACTAGTCACCTGGTGAAATCACCTCATTTCACAGGTAAGGAAACCGAGTCCCTGAGAGTTTAAAGTGACCCGAAAGTTGGTGACAGAAGCAGAACAAAAACCCAGATGTCATGACCCATGTCCTCTCTATCCCCGCCTACTTCCAGTTCTGGATCACAGAAGTTGTTTTTGTTTTTGTGTGCGTGTGTTTTCGATTTATCAGTGAGCAGTGTATGCAGGATATTGTAAAACTATAACTGCTCAAATGACGGAAAATAAGTGGGACTAGACGTTTTCTTAAGTTTCTTACCAGCCCTAACATTCTGTGATGAATAGCACACAGGAGCTTTTCCACGGCGCAACCCCCTCTAGTGCATAATTCAGCATATGATGAGTATGAGTCTATTTGGGAACCCATCCAAGAGAGTGAGTTCCTAGAAGTACTCGGAAGATCTTTCATCTATCACGGAGCATCCTAAAAAGACTAAAAATAATGACAATAATAGTACTCATGCGTTATACATGGATCTTGTACTCAACATCAGGCTGCCCCACTGTTTTCAAAAAGCACCTTTTGTGGGTGGGAAATCCAGTGGATTGTGAACCGTTTTTAGGTGAATGGAATGAAAGCAGGAAAGAACGAAGAGTGCATTGTATATACTAAGTATTGTTAGTGATTAAACGGAAAATTTCCAAAGCCACCGACTCACCTCCAGTCCTAACGCCCACCCGGCTCTGTAAGTGTTCTCAGCTCCATTGCATCAGTCAGGAAACAGAAACAGAGAGGCTAAGTCCGTGGTCAGCAAACTGCAGCTCGCGAGCCACGTGTGGCTCTTTGGCCCCTTGAGTGTGGCTCTTCCACAAAATACCACAGCCTGGGCGAGTCTATTTTGAAGAAGTGGCACTAGAAGTTTAAGTTTAAAAATGTGGCTCTCAAAAGAAATTTTAGTCACTGTATTGTTGATATTTGGCTCTGTTGACTAATGAGTTTGCCGACCACTGGGCTAAGTTATTTCGCTGAGCTGACACAGTGGCCAAGCCAGAATTTTGGACCTACATCTGTTTCACTTCAAATCCTGTGTTTTTACATTTATTCTGACTATAAATTATTAACCAGAGCACTGGATAACTGTTGCTGAACATATTTCCTGTTGGAGGGCTAAAGTGGTTTGTATTCAATCCAGTTAAAATGGAGAAACACAACACAGGTTCGAATGCTGTGTTCTGGCGCTGAGCTGAGCATCTGGGCCTCTTCTATAGGTGTTGGGATGCTTCACTAATTGGCTGCTAACTATGCAAGTGGAATAATAATTAATAGGTAATTATCCTCAAATAACTTAAATATCAATCTTTACATAAGTGTTAAAAGGTTTGCTTGAGAGAGTTTTCCAAATGTAATTCATACAGCAATTTTCAGGAGCTCATCCCAAACACAGAACTGGTGAATGGCAAGGATAAACACACACACACACACACACACACACACACACACACACACACACATAAAGCATATAAAGTAGTCCCTAAACCAATATTTTGCTTTATATGGAAACAGAAGATATACACGTGTAAAGTAATTGGAATATCCTGCACTGTGGAGAAGGAAGCCAGTAACTCGGGTGCCATGCTAATACATTGATTCAGATGGTCCTGTGCATGCCTCCAGCGGTAACATGGCAGGTTTAGGTGCTGTCATCCCCCTTCTTCAGATTTGAAAGCTCAAACTCAGAACTAGCAGGGGATTGAAATGTGCGTCCAATCCTGGTCTCTTTGCAAACAGGTGAGTTCCTAGCAGACAATGAGGTGGCTAGAGATTTTGAGACATTCTACGCAAATGTTGACACTTCTCTCCGCTTGAAAGCAATGCCCTTTCTTTCTCTGCAGGGTAGCATTTCTTACTGCTGTCAGCAGCCCTGTGGTCTTAAAGGAGAGAAATCCACATCTTCCTCTAAAGGAAAGGCCTAGCAAAGCTAGGCCAAGCCCTCTCCCCTGGCTGTTCAGTTTGGCTGCAGCATCTCGCCCTCACCTGCAGTGTGTAGAGGACGTTATGGTACGATGCTACTTTCCATCGGCTCTGCTGCTGCAGATTACAGCATGCAACTGTGACAAATGGATATTCCCATTAAATTCTTTAGTAGAGTGGGACATTCCATTAACCATTGGCACCATCCCAACCGAGTGAAACACTGGGTCATTTTTTTTTCCTTCTGAGAAAAAAGTAAGGGAGAAAACAAAGGATATTCTCTAATTACCTTTCCTATTTTTTTCTGTTGCATGCATTATGCTAGTCGTATATTACAATTATTTATAATTAATATATGACAAGCTGTCAGCTGAAATTTAACAGGTGATTTGTCAAGGCGTTCCATTAATTCATACATTAAGCAGTGGGATTTCAATACTTCCTAACAATAAAAGTGTGTTTTGGTTTTGTTATTTCAAATGTATTGTGTTGTAATTTAAATGTTTTAAAAATACAAGGATCCCTAACAGAAATGGGTACTTTGTTAGTGATGTAAGGAGTAAACACTTTTTTTTTTTTTTTGGCATGTTAGCCATTAAATACTAATGTTTACACTGAGGAAATGAATTTCTTCGTGTTTATTTTTAAGTTTTAAAATCTGTATGATTTTTATACATTTTTCAAACGATGTCTCTAGTACTAAAGGCAAAGCCGAACGGAGAGGAAAGTAATTGCAGTTACTTATGTCCCATTTAGTCTTTGTACCTTACACTAGAGAATTTTGAAATGAATGAATATTTTAAAATACAGAAAAAGATTAAGAAGTCACCAGAACGCTAGTAATTAATCACTCAATAGAGGGGAAATCTACAGAGAACAAAAACTGATGAAGCAATCTCTATTTCGCAGAGTGGCACAAGAATGGGGCACATGATGGAAATGAATCATGGGTATTTCTTGGAAGGGTTAACAAGATTCTTTAAAAGAGTAAAAGCTCGGTCTCAATATCTATAGAATGTTAATGTCATGAGACATAACTAGAAATGAAGTTAAATTCCTATTTTATTATTGGTTCCACTGCCAAACAGAATTTCACAGTGGTTTCCCTTCCCCCACTCCACCCTTCACTTATCCACAGGGATACGTTCCAAGATCCCCAGTGATGCCTGAAACCAGAGGTAGTACTGAGCCCTGTATATACCATTGTACATGTACAAGGTGTCCAAAAGATGTATACACACTTTAACGGCTGATAGCTCAGTTTTGAAAATGAATTGTATTTTTTTAATGTTTTTATTGATGTTTTGAGAGAGAGAGGAAGGGAGTGGGATAGAGAGAGAGAGAAATATCTATGAAAGAGAAACATCCTCAGTCCACTGCGTCCTGTACACCCCCTACTAGGGCTGGCGCCACAACTGGGGCTTTGTCCTGACCAGGAATCTACCCTGAGTCAGTGTTCAACCCCTGAGCCACACCAGCCAGGCAAGAGTTGTATTTTAATAAACACTGTCTTTATAATTATTTAAAGTTTGAGTATATTTTGGGGAGACATCCTCTATTTTCACTTTGAAGAAGCATTTTATGGCTTCTCTTTGGCATATCCAAATTGCCAGCATCTCTACTCTTACACTTTGGGGCTGTTATTAAGTCAAATAGGGGTCACTTTGAAAGCAAGCACTATGATGCCACAACAGTTGATCTGGTAGCTGAGATGGCTACTCGGTGACTTAACGGCAGGGATATACGGAGTGGATACCCTGGACAAAGGGGTGATTCCTGCCCGGGGCAGGTCAGGGAAGGAAGGCGCAAGATTTCATCACAATACTCAGAATGGCATACAAATGTATGAATTGTTTACTTCTGGAATTTTCCATTCAATGTTTTTAGACCACAGTTGACTGTGGGAAACTGAAACTGTGGAAAGCCACCTTGGATGAGGGAGGACTCCTGCATCTTTCAAGAAAATGAAAGAAAAGTAAAGCAGCATTTGCTTAGAATTTCATTTGCACCAAGGCTGACTCTTATCTCTCAAGACTAGGATATGCTGCAGGATGCTAATGACTCACAATTAACTACTGTGGAGAGTGCTGGATCTCCTTAGTGGAAGAATGTCCTCAAGATTCAAGGGTTAGGAAGAAAGAGCAGGAAAGAAAAGAAGAACAGCGAATAGCCTTCTGTGTCCACCAACCAAGTTCTGTTTTCACATTTGTAGCAAGAAAGCCATGCAGAGTCATGAAATTATTTTTAAAGGGTCTTTCAAACAGCATCTGAGAAAAAGATTACCAGAAACTCAGAAGCAAAATGCCACAAGTTTTCATGTAACAGGGAGCCTAACCCTTCACAGGTGAGGAATGGAAGTGGCCAGTGGCAAACGGGTCCTTGTATTCTGGACCAGACCAGGATCTCACGTACCAGATCTCACCTTGCTTTCCGGAAGCAGCAATGTCTCCACGTGTCCTGTGGGTGCTTACACACACATTAAGAAATAGTTTTCCAAACTGTGGACACAGCAAAGACATTGCGAATACTATTCTTCAGCCACTTTTCAAACCTTTCACTGTCTTTGTCTTATACTTCTATACCTATCTTATACTTCAGGTATATCACTGAACAGTTTCTACTGGGTGTGCATGCTTAGTGTAATGTTTTCTCTCTGCTGTTTTAGAGCGGTTTTATGTCTGATTGCAGCCAAAAGCTCTTAACAGAGTGCTGTAAGCACTACAGGTAAGGGGATCTTTGAGGAGGGAAGGGAAAGGAAGGATGGAGGTAGGAAAAGAGAAAGAGGACATAAATTGACTGTAAATTGCCCTTTTTATGTGAAATATCACTTTCTTTACAAAGATGTCTATAGTCTTCTTGGTAGAATAAATTTACCCTGCCTCTGGTCTCATATTCTTTTTTTTTTTCTTTTTTTTTTTCTTCTTTTTTTTACCTTCTCATACCCTATCCCTTGTTATTGTTTACAGGCGGGGCCAAAAGTAGGTTTACAGTTATGAGGACGTAAAACACGGTTTATTTTGGTATTATTTTGAATTTTTTATTGTATTTTCCGTATGAACATCTGTAAGCCTACCTTGGCCCCATCCTATATACTGGCACCCTATTAAGCTCTGAGTATCTTCATACTCTGTATCTCAGCAAGTATAGAACCTGAAATGTAAGCAGATCTCAAAAAGATTTCTGTTGAGCCCTAGCTGGTTTGGCTCAGTGGATAGAGTGTGGGCCTGCAGATTCAAGGGTGATGGGTTTGATTCTAGTCAAGGGCACATGCCTGGGTTGTGGGCTTAGTCCGCAGTAGTCCCTCTCATCATTGATATTTCTATCTCTTCCTCCCCCTTCCTCTCTGAAATCAATAAAAATGCATTTATAAAAATATTTCTGTTGAATGAATCAATAAGTGATAATATATGCTTAGATACCACCACCATAGCTAGTCAGATGTCACTGTAATATGCCCTCTTATTGGGCCTGTGCTGGGTCATAATTAGGCCTCACTAATTAAAACACAACAGACCGTCACAGACAAGAAGCAATAAAATCTGAACAGGAGTAGATGGAATAGTAGCTCCACAGAATTCTTAGTGAAAAACTTTTGTGTTTTCCTACAAGATGTCTAAAGAATTGATCAGTTAAGTAGGGGGAAAAATTCCTTCATACTTCTGACCGGTACTGAAGTTTCAGTTTTCACTAGGAACACACTAACTAAAATGGACATTTGTCTCTAACCATTTTTTTTCTTTATGACCATATATTACTCCATAGCATCCTGGTTTTTAAAATTCATTAGCCATGTCTCAAAAATTGCCAGTAACACTAAACAGGTCCAACAGAAATTTCAAGAAGCAGGACAAAACCTACGCTTCCCCATATGTATGCTTGCTTTAAACAGTCTGTTCAAGTCAGTGCTTATTTTATAAACGTAGAAACACCATTCTTGCTGAGCTTCTTAAATCTGTTTCCAATTCTTTAATGTCATCTCTCTTTCTTCTTTTCTTGCCTCTGAAACCCCATCTTTCCAATACAGATGTCTACTCTTCCTCCTCCTAATACAACAGTACTTTTCATATATTCTTCTGCTCCCAATCTTTTTCTGATTGGCCTCAATCCATTCCTCACTGTGCTGCTCAATTAACTTTAATAAAGCACAAGTTTAATTACATAATCTCCTTACTCAAAAAACTCAGTAGTTTGTGATTACTGATCAAACCAAGTACAAATCTTCAACCAGCATTCAAAATTCATTACAAGTGGAATGCTGCCTGAATCCATTTCGCCATCCTAAATTCCTACCTTTCCTACCAATAGCCTGAACTCCAGAATTGTCTGGACAAAACTGTACATTTTTCTTAGCCAGAAAGTTTTCTATGCTCAACTATTTGTTGAACTCCCACCCACCCCTTGAGGATCATCTCATCAAATAGTTGTGTGTTTTTTCTCCTGATTCTTCTACCCACATATGAATACCACTTCCTTTGCAACCTATCGGTTTCTTCAAATCTCTTTCACGCTAAAATAAACATTCTGCTGAAATCAGATGAAAGATGACAGAAAGCACTCACTGACAAGATGTGTTCCCTGGCTAATTTTATTGGTATCGATCCACAGATTATAAATATGAGAATGCATGGGATAGAGTGCGGGGGAAATTGGACAAATTTATGTGTAATCACACCTTGAAAGATTCTGTGTCATGTGACTACGTTTGGGAAGAGAACAAAGGAATTCCAAAGATTCTGTGTTAAGACCCATATGAGGAGCAACAGACAACAAAAGCTTTTTTCCCCAAACACAACTGTGCTCAGCATCCAGGAAAGGAGAGGAGTCAAATCAAGGCAGGCTGGAGGTTTTCCTCTGCCTTTCCCTTTGCCAAAAAGCCAGTGGTCAGAAGCCTAGAAGCAGTCCTGAAAATGACACCTGACACCCATGTCTTCACTTCCCCTCCCTCTGAGGGAACTCCTGCCTGGTGCATCTCAGGCTCTAGCTGGTACCAAGTAGAGGTAAGAAGGAACGGGTACTTGCATTATTTTTCCTTTTTATTCCTGTTACCCATTCTCACACCCCCCTCCCCCCACAAAAGAAAAAAAAAGTAACACAGGCTGCGTTCTAAGACTTTGGATGTCAAAAGTGCTCATTTCAGTCAGTTCTACCCTGGGTAAAGAAGAAATGAGAAATTAGAGCAAATGCTGAAAGCTATAATATTTTCCTGTGATTTAATCCTTCCTGTGCCATCTATAACACACCTGCCCTTTATTACAGTTATATTTATACTTGTTTTTCTCATTCCCTCCCTGTGCCTTTGCCAGAGGCCAGCTTCAAGAGATACACCTATGATTCGAGACTATAAAATCTTTAAGGGAAACACTGGGTCTTAATCTTATGTGTGTATGTCCCAGGTATACCTGCAGAATGCCCTATGCAAAGAGTACGCTCTATGCGGCACAAACACACAGCAATTTTCCCAGTTTAATATATTCTACCCTATTGTCCCCAGGGAGTATACTCGCATTTATTAGATCATGTGTCCAATATTGGACTGCTGGAACCTTAGAATGGTCATTCACAGCCCTGGACGACCTCTCAAATGCCTGCCCAGAGCCCCTCATAGGAGCTGAACCCGGGTCTTTGCGAATAGGGAATCTATCATATTTTTTTACAAAGTTTCCCAAGCGATTCCAATGTTTAACTCAAGTGGAGTAGCCTTGCTTTACAGCTCTAAGAAGCACAATTTGAAAGTCACTAGATTATTTCTAAAGTGTTTTTCCAGGTCTAGGATTCTTTGTGAAAGTGATTTTAGTTTCGGGGGGAGGAGGGGGGCGAGGAAAAGAAGGACCTTTGACTGATTCCATTTTTTTAAGTAGTACCTACAAATGAAATGCAGCCCACATTCTATAGTAGGATATATATTTTTAGCATTTCTTTTTACTTGGTTTTCACGGGTGCCCATTCATCCCCGGGCCCATTCAGTCAGGCCTCCACGGTGCATGAGGTATGTTAGCTATGCTCTCTTAAGTCATTCTAAGAATGTGTGCTGTGAGCGAGGCACACATATTAAGGAAAACCCTTTCATTCAAATACAACAGAAACATCCCCTAATGATTTTCGTTCCCTGCAGTACAATTACAAGAGGAAGCAGTGCCATCAGACTAGCCTGAATTCCAGCCAGCCACTCCCTAAGAAATCTGTGATTAAGACAAAGAAAGCAAGATTGAACCCCTCTCCTTGGTAACAATTTGGAATGAAGTCTGGATGCCCATGTGTTATTTGCAGTGTTAAATCGGGAAGTACAAAACGACAACTTTTGGGGAGAGAAAGATGTTGCTCACAAAATGTTTGCTTAAGAAATTAACTTTCTTCTGAGGGAAGTATTCTTGGTGAACTCCAATAATAGAAAACTGGCAAGCATGCAACCTACCCAACTACAGAAGACTCCTTTCCCTTCTCTCACAGCTCCTAGCACATTAGCTAACAAACAGGAGGAACCCTATCGGTTAAATATTAGTTAAATATTAACACTTATGTGGCACTCTGCAGTTCACAGACAGCTTTAAGAGACATCTCTTTTAAGGCTCCTAAACATTTTGTGGATGATAAAAACACCCATTTTACAGACCCAGACCTTAGATACTGAGTATCGGAACCCCTGGGAGTCAGAATCTTTGCAAGTTTTCCAGGTAATTCTGAAAACTCTTTTGATAACAATTCAAATGTATTGATTTGTTGTATTGTTCCTAGGAAAATAACCCATGCAGCTGAGCAGAGTCTGGCATTTCTTAATAGGCTAGCTGCCTTTTACTAGGATATACCTTTTCTTTCTTTTATTCTTTTTTAAAAAAAATATATTTATTGATTTCAGAGAGGAAGGGAGAGGGAAAGAGAGATAGAAAACATCAATAATGAGAGAATCATCTATCAGCCGCCTCCGGCATGTCCCCTACTGTACTGGAGCCCACAACCAGGGCATCTGCCCTGACCAGGAATCAAACCATGTCCTCCTGGTTCATAGGTTGACGCTCAACCACTGAGCCAGGCTGTCTGGGCTCTGCCAGTATTTTAAAGAGGGCGGGGGGGGGGGTGGGGGGAGACGCACAGGTGGCACTATTTTGCCTAAACCTACAAGCTTTTCAATTCTGCTGTGCACAGCTGGCTTATTCCAACAGTTGTCTTCGCTTTGAAGGAAGTGCCGAGCTCCTGGCACTGGTGAGGAGGGCTTGACTCCTGCCCACTTTCCTTCTGGCTGTAAGGAAGGTCTTCGCTGCCTGTGGAGACCAAGGCCTCCTTCCGCAGGCAGCAGCAATTACATGAAATGTACCAGACACTGAAGTGAAGCCTGCAGCCTGCTGGGCCTCAGCACGCTCCTTGGGAGCCCACCAGTTCTGGCTGTGATGCTGGGGAGGGGCTCTGCCCGCGCTGTGTGGATTGCTTTAACTGGGAGGGGTGGAGGGAAGAGTCAAAGAGACCCCTCTGTAAAATCTTTAGAATAAAACTACGGATTTCAAGGAAGCAGACAATGTTATTTTTACCTTATAATTATTCCTAATCCTCACAGAGACCGGAGAGAGGAGGATTTGATTTAATGTCTGGAATGAAATACACTTGACTGGAAACGAAGACACACACTTTCTTCTCCTTTAATTTCTGAGGGAAGGGGGGGGGGTGAACCCCTCCGAAATTAAAGGAGAAGACAGTGTGTGCCAACCACCCCAATCGTCTCGATTCTCAAACTTTCCAAATTCCTTTGGTTCACCATCCCGACCTTAGCAATAATACCCTCTGGTGTAGCCACCCTCCACTCTTCTGGTTTCAGTTCCTGGGAACTCTGTCTGTCCCAAGAAGAGATGTTTTTAAAAGGGCTTGGCATTTTTCCCTCTGAGGCAGTAGAAAGCTG